ACGGCAGAGTTACAGGGATTAACGGCTGCAGAAACCACTGAGAAGGAACCAGCCTGCTGAGCTGCCTTTGGACCCCACCTCCCATTTCTCCGATAACACTACAAAGGTAAACATCAGTTCTGCCACTCCTCAGGATTTAAATTACCCAGTGAATAAGGGGACGTACTCTGGCTTTACTAAGACTCATTGACATACTCTAAGCTAGCCAGAGATTTACATAGTCTGTGCCCTTCCGTTAAAAGTTAATCCAGGGGTTACAGAGATGGCTCAGTGGTTAAGAGCACTGGTTGCTCTTCCACGGATCCAGGTTCAATTCCTAGTACCCACACAGCGTCTTACAACCATCTATAACGCCTCTTCTGTATTACATGTGGGCACCTGGCACACATGGCGCACAGACATGCATGCAGGTAAAACATCCATACATATAAAATAAAAACAATAATTTCTCAGGCTGGAGAGATGGCTCAGAGGTTAAGAGCAGTGGCTGTTCTTCCAGAGGTCCTGAGTTCAATTCCCAGCAACCACATGGTGGCTCACAGCCATCTGTAATGAAATCTGGTCTGAAGGTACACATGCAGGTAGAACACTATATACATAATAAATAAATAAATCTTTAAAAAAAATAATAATTTCTCAAAAATTTTAAAGAGTTAATCAAATGGGGCCTCTCAATTACCTGGCCAGGAGTTTGCCTCTACCCGCTTCCTCCACCCCCAAAATCTGATTCACCTAAAGATGTGCTAAGGAGAAGGAGGACTAATTATCCCTTAATGAATACCGTATTCACCCTTCCCAGAAGCCTTTGGGCAGTGACTGCCTTGTAGGCTTCCATCATGTAGCCTTTGGAGCTTGCCTGATTTTCAGAGTTACCCAGAAAACTTTTCCTTTTTATTCTTTTCTTTTTTCCCAGATACTGGATAAAATCCCAAGCACGCTTTCCCTGGCACTCTGGGATTTCTCACGAACTCTCTGAAGCTACTTCCCACACCACACAACTTACTGCCTACTATGCAGTATGCTGACCCCCACTGCTGAACCTGCCTCTTTCTCGGATCCTGACGCTGACCCATGGCTTTCCTCCTCCTTTCCCTCTCCCTCCTCCTGTCAACTGCCAAGATTTACAGCCTGTCTGCCCTGTTATTTTTCTCAAATTTTAATAACATTTTCTTCAAGCTTCCTTCTAAATTTCTAAATTTTTACTAATGAAATTAAGAACCCAATAGAGGGGACCAAATTCCCTGGCAATAGAAGGTATTTTAAATTATAAATGAGCTCATACCTCTCCTTTGGCTAACAAAATGGGATAGACATTCCATCTGGAGGATTCCCCCCCCCCCCCCCCCCCCCCCCGCTTTTTTTTTTTTTTTAAGAAAAGCATCTGGGAGGTTTTGTGAGATGGTGGTTACAGGAAAGCACCTGTTCTGGACCTGGCAGAATTCTTTGTCCCTAGGTCTACTCCTTTGATAGGTGTAGGGTGGGAGGCTTTTATATCTTTTCCTTGAAGGTCAGCTTCAAACTGGACTTTGCATACCTCTGTTAAATGCTAATTTTGCAAGTGAGAAAAGTAACGGGGAGTAAGAATGAAAATGCATCCACATCTTTGAGTCAAAAAGCAATTTATGCAAAGACAAGCTTCACTTACTGCCCCTCGTGCAGCCAGCAAATCCACAGCCATTTCCTTTCTTAGTTTTCCTGCCAAAGGAGAGCTGAGTGCTGACCACATATGCCTGGAAAGGAAAAAGGGTGGAGTAAGGAATTCTGGTACCAAGGGAAAGTTCAGCACAAGGAAGTTAAAACCACCCATAATGGGGGTCTGGAGAGGTGGTTCAGTGGGTAAGAGCACTTCCTGCTCTTGCACAGAACCTGAGTTTGATTACCAGCACCCGTAACTCCAGTTCCAGGAGATCTAACATCCTCTTCTGGCCTTCCCCAGGTTTGGGCTCACGGACACATACACACATACAGACACAAACATATACACATAAACATAAATTAATTTTAAAAACCTAACCATAATGGTCATGAGAACTCAAGAAAGCTATCCCCGATAAACACCGCAAACCAAATGATAAGAATGCTGACCAAACCAATCTGTCAAAAACTCCATCCCTTCAGTATATAAGACACTTCTAATGTCTTACACTTGTCCCTCCCCACTCACCTACAGGCCTATTAGCGCCTTGTACAAAAACTGGCAATGTCAAAAGGTTGGATATGCCTGATATAAAGTACAGAGGACGATGTGTCCAAGTTCTCTGCAAATGCAATGCCAGTCTACCTAAAGGACTTGAGTTTTGGCTGTTTGGGAATTCCTGGAACCATTCCGCTGTGCAGCAGAGGTGGGGCTGTGCTGTCGACGTGGCTGAGGTGGATAGCCGAGGGGTTCACATACTGCCCAAAGTGACAAGACATTGCAAGGCGCACAGATGCGAAGGGAAATCTGCTTCCAGCCCAAGTCTCTAGACAAGACTCAGCGAATGCTCCGGCCACACTATACCTTGGTTTCTTACTCTGCACCGTGGGCACAATGAAGGGCCAAGGAGCCTATAACTTGGTATTAGATGCGCTAATTCATCAAATTAGCCTAGACTGCTAGGTATCGGCTGTTGTTTTCCTGACCTGCATCGCTAGGATGCAACAGAAGATGCACAGGCCCTTGGCCCTGCAGTCTAGGCCCAGCCGCTCTCCGTGGCAGGCCGAGCCTGCTGGCGGGTCCCCGAGCCAGAGGCCGCAGAGCAAGATGCCAGGCCGCGCCAGGCCCGCCGCGAAGCCCACCGCCCGCTACGCCCCGCCCGCCCCCTCCGTCCCACTCACGGACGCCGGCGCTCGCTCCAGCCGCCCTCAGCACGAGCGGTCTCGAGGATGTCTGCCCCAGATGCGCCCTCCTGGCACAGTCAGGATCACCTCGGCCCGGAGCCCCCCCAAAACGCCGAGAGCTGCCCCGCCACCAGGAGAAACCTCAGAGAACTACTATTCCCGGCATGCCTCGGGACCGCTCTGACTACATTTCCCAGAAGGCACCCGGGACAAGCGTTTTCCGAAAGCTGAGTAGAACTGTGGCGGTGTTTCCCCTGCGTTCAGGTTAATGTTGTCTAGGGCTGGGGGTGTGCACTACAAACACGGCAAACTCTGCAAACCCGGCTAGACTCTCTCAGTCATTCCTCAGACTTGTTCGCTAGGCGGGCGAAGTGATGTGACAAGATAAAACCGGGATTTAGTGTCTAAGAGTAACCCCCACCCCCACCCCTAAGTACCAGGCCAGCCTGACTCATGGAGTTGAAGGACAGCCAGGGATACATAGATTTATGCACCTTAATAGGAGAATCTGTGTAGCCTACACCACTAATCATGATAATTTAAATCAGTTTAACGTGTACAACACACAGAACAATGCGCATAGTATTGTTTCAGGGGTTTTGCTTGTTTTGTTTTGGGCCAAGGACCTTGATACTCAGTCCAGGATGGTTTCAGAAGCAGGAAGATTAAAAAATAAAACTAATTGATTGAATACACATACTTAGCTTTTACTTATTTGTTTGTTTATTTAAATCCAGCGAACTGCTGAATCCTAAGATCAATTGCCATTTGGTTGGGAAAGATAGGCATGGATCTTCAGAGAGCCTGCCCTTCCCTAGCCTCCAGTTAAAAAAAAAGAAAAAAACAAGACATACATAATATTAACTCTCTCAAGTATCTTTCTGATTTGGAAAATCGTCTGGAAGAACAACAACAACAACAACAACAACCCAGCAGTTGTGTCTAAATACTCCTCCCCAGTGGCTGAAGTGAGGCACTCTCAGAAGCCCTAACTTTTGAGTGAAAATCCCAATTCCAGAAATGTGTTGCCTCTCTCAAAATTATTGGCCATAGAGGCCTCTATGACCTCATAACCTACAAGCTTTATTGTCTCTATGGGGTTGTCTTTGCATCCCAGGACTAAGTGGAAGTCCCTGTTGCTGGAGATACCACATCCTTTAGTTGCAGGACATAGAGAAATCAGTTTGGATCTGGCTGGAAGATTCTCCCCATGCTAGCTCACTTTCATAATGCTGAAAAGCACTGAGCAGGCTGCTGGGGGAGAGTTGATGCCAACAGTTTTGTTCAGCTATGGACATGGTGTGCCGATTCCTTTAGGATGCCAGGAAAGATAAGCTCATTGGTTAAACAGTTGCCCAACCATTATGAGTGCAGCCAATATCTACCATTTCACTTAAGGCTTGCTCCATAGGAGAAGACTCATTTTCCAGGACAAAACCTGTGACTAGGGAGATCCTGGTCCCCAGTGGGAGGCTACTGCTATTATTTTGTGTAATAGGTATTACATACCTTAAAAACATTTGTGATTATGGACACAGATTACCACTGCTGTTAACACTGGTTGTAGGGGGAAAGCTTTATGTGTGTATGCACATATGAGTAGAGATGCCCATAGAAGCCAGAAGCTTTGGATCCCCTGGAGCTGAAGTTATATGAAGTTATGAATCACCCAGAATAGGTGCTGGAATAGAACCAGGGTCCTCTGCAAGAGTCATACACTCTCCTAACCTGGGAAACACCCCTCCCCAGTAGGGGTTAGTTATTGTGGTGTCACAATTGGTCATGGTACTGAGAAAAAGGATTGCTGCTGTGGCATGCCCACTCAATGCTCAGCCATAAATGGAAGAAAATAATCAGACATCTGTATTACTCCAAGACACAGGGAACACTGCAGAAGAGGCAGAATGGAGGGAGGGCTAGTGTTACATGCTTTGAACTTACTTGAATGGAAACAGGAGAATGGAGGCTCACAAGACTCAGAAAGCTCTGGAAACCTCACAGGTTTAAGAAGCTGACTCCAGGAGTTTAGATAAGCAGTGTACAATTGCTACAGGGAGCACAAGGAAGCAGGAATAGCCTGGGGCCAGGAATTGTGCTCTCTGTGGCTACACTGTGATATAATTTCTCCTTTCTAACTAACTGCGTGTGTGTATGTATGTGTAAATTAAATTTCAAAAGCATTTGTCTGAAGAGCCTTTACTTCACAATTTAATACAGCAAAGGTAATTACTTTCTGAGGAAAACAAGTGGAGACACCATGCATTGTGTGACTTAAAGTGCCTTTAGGTCTGAGTCAGAGGTGGTAAATGGGGGAAGACAATGCTCGGGACAATAACCCGTACAGCTCACAGAGCGAGTTTCTTCTCCGGTCAGTAACTTAGAGAAAAGAAAAATGAACCAAAAGTTTTAATAAACAAGAACTTGTTTCCAGAGTATTAAAAAACAAACTTTAGTGACCATGAGGTAGCTACAAGTTACCTATGTAGATTTCTTTTCTTATTCTCCCTAATCCAGCTACTCTGCATTAACACTGAAAGGCTTTGTCCAACATAGATCCTAGGCTCATCTGAAGTCTGCTGATTCATGGCTCAGCTTTTACCTAAATCACCAGGTCCCCAGTGATGTTACAAAAGCTGGTGGCTGTTAAGTCTGAATCACTAGAAAATATTAATCTTTCAGTCCTAGAGTCAACTCTATAGTCAGTAAAACTTAAGAACACGTGGAAAACATTTTATATTTTATATAAGTTTTCCAAACACAAGTTTATACTGCATCACAAATGCCTGATGTTTGCTCACCCCCAACTATTACTCATCACTTTCTCTCCAGGATGAATTCTGTTACAGTCAGTATAGAATCAATGTCTTTTGGCAGATTTATCACATGCATTTTTCTTATATGGTTTTTCTCAATAATGAGTCTTCTGATGGTTGGCAAGAGATGAACTTTGACTGAATGATTTCCCACAGGCTTTGCATTTATAAGGCTTTTCTCCCGTATGAATTCTCATATGTGTCATTAGTGATGAACTCTGTCTGAAGGCTTTCTCACATACTTTACAGTTAAATGGTTTTTTCTCCAGTGTGAATTCTCTGGTGCTGAATAAGGGCTGAGCTTTGGTTGAAGGCTTTTTCACAGTCATTGCATTTGTAAGGTTTCTCACCAGTGTGGATTTTTCGATGAGTGTTGACTGCTGAGTGGGAACTGAAAGCTTTTCCACATTCCTTACAATGATAAGGTTTCTCGCCTGTGTGGATTCGGTGATGGATATTAAGTCGTGAGATCCAGGAAAAGGCCTTCCCACATTCATCGCACTTGTATGGCTTTTCTCCAGTATGGATTCTTTGATGTTGGATGAGTGCTGAGCTTTGGCTGAAGGCTTTCCCACATTCCTTGCACGCATATGGTTTCTCTCCAGTGTGAATTCTCTGATGTATAATCAAGGCTGAGTGGTAACTGAACACTTTGCCACACATATCACAATGAAAAGGCTTCTCTCCAGTATGAATACGGTGGTGTCTGCTGAGCCGTGATATTGATGTAAAGGCTTTCCCACACTGGCTACATTCATACGGTTTCTCCCCAGTATGAATTCTATGATGCTGAATAAGAGATGAACATTGACTAAAGGCTCTCCCACACTCATTACACTTATACGGCTTTTCTCCAGTGTGGATCCGTCGGTGATTGTTAAGGGATGAGCTGCCTTTGAAGGTTTTGCCACATTCCTTACATTTATAGGGTCTCTCTCCAGTATGCATCCTCTGATGCCCAATGAGAGAGGTAGTAAAGCTGAAAGCCTTCCCACATTCGCTGCATGTGTACGGCTTTTCTCCAGTATGGACTCTCAGGTGCTGGGTTAGGGATGAGCTTTGGCTGAAGGCTTTCCGGCATTCCTTACATTTGTAGAGCTTCTCTCCAGTATGGATCCTCTGATGTTTGCTCAGGGAAGAACTGTGGAGAAAGACTTTTCCACAGCTGCTACATTTATAACCCTTTCGCATTGTGTTGAATCCCAGTTGTTTAAACAGAACTGAGTCCTGCTGTGAGCGGGGCTTTCTTCCTCTGGAGACAACTCCAAGTTTTCTAGGAAATGGAGACTTCATACCCGGCTTTCTCACGAGGTCAGGACCCTTAAAGGCCCTCTCTTGTATGTAGTCTTTTCTAATGGAAAGCAGCATTTTGCTGCAAAGCTTGTTCTTTTTGCCTTGTTGGTCCTCCAGCTGTTCCTCATTTACATATGTTCTTCCCAATATGAAGTCAAGAAAATCATCAACTCTGTGGTTTTTCAAGACTTCCTTATTTTCTCCTTTGGAAACTATGGGTTCAAACAAGCTCTTCCATCCTAAATTAAACAAAATGTAAGTGACTCTTGCACTGGGAAGAAAGGAAAATAACGAAATCCATGAACACAGCTAACACAGCCAAACTCAGAATCTCAGGAAAGGTTAGAAACAAGGCAAAGGAAAAGAAATAGGAGGGTAGACATGTCTGAAAGGAAGGGTCTGAAGAAATGTGTGTGTGTGTGTGTGTGTGTGTGTGTCTCGGAGCGGGGGCGGGGGGGGGGGGGGTTGCTGAGGCCATCAGATGGCAGCTCTTCCAATAGGAGGAGGTGCCAGTCTTGGTTTAGCAACGAAGGCTGCATCATCAGGTGTTTCTGAGCAGAGCTTATGTAACTTTTCAGTTTCGTCACCCAGATCAGGTGCCAGTATATTCAGGTAAATCTCAAAAGAAAGCTTTAGAGAGGAAGAGGAGGGAGGGAAGGAGGAAGGGAGGAGGAAGGAGGGAAGGAGAGAGGAAAGAGGAGGGAGGGAAGAAGAGGTGCCTCTGCCCTCAGGGGCTCTGTGAAACAGTTTTAGTTTCAACAGTGCCACTCTGGCCCTTGTCAGAGTGCTAATGTTGTAATGAGTGTTCTCTCAATAGACAGTGCAAAGGCCAAGGCTCTGGGAATTACAGGCAATAGCAAGGCAAGGGCTGATTCTCACAGGCTTCCATTCAATAGCCAAGAGACCAAATTGCTAACGAAGTAACTAGGGCCTTATGAGAACTGTATAAGAACACACAAAACCAAAGCATTATGCAGTGGGGATAACTACACTGATACTGAGTGATAAGAAGATGAAGTTGAAGATAAAAGTCTAGGGCCCAAGATGGCAGGATGGGTAAAGGTGCATGCTTGCCAAGTCTGACAACTTGAGTTCAATCCCTGGGACTCAAATGGTAGAAGGAGAGCACTGATTCCTGAGAGCAGTCCCCTGAGTTTCACACTCAAGCTGTGGTTTATCCCCCACCCCCTCGTGCACAATATAAATAAACCAATGTAAATAAAATCTAAAATCTAAGTAAGAGCCAGGATACTTAGGATACACTATAAGAAATGAAATGATTGATTCAAAAGAAATGAATATATTTTATAAAGGAGCTTTCATCTTCTTGATTATAAAAGAGGTCACCTGTACAGAAAACAGGAGAAATAGAATCAGGCTGGGACTTGTTATCAGCATTTATTGCTCAAAGACAGTAGAGTGGAGCCACGTGTGGACACTGCTGATAGGGACCAAGACATCTAATGCCGGAATTCTACCCCAAAGCCTATTGCCAAAAGAAAGAAGAACGAGCCGGGTGGTGGTGGCGCACACCTTTAATCCCAGCACTCGGGAGGCAGAGCCAGGCGGATCTCTGTGAGTTCGAGGCCAGCCTGGACTACAGAGTGAGTTCCAGGAAAGGCGCAAAGCTACACAGAGAAACCCTGTCTCGAAAAACCGAAAAAAAAAAAAAAAAAAAAGAAAGAAAGAAGAACGAACTTCGACATATACATGTATTGTACACATAAATTCTAAAAAATTATTCATGGACAATATCCTCATCAAAACAAATGAAAATCTGAAGATAGGTCATGAATGGCAACCCAAAATGCAACTAATTCAGAATACCCAGCTACTGCCAGAGAGAAGTGAATTCTGGGTAAGTAGCAGGGTCCAAGAGAATCATCCTCTGAGCCAGAAACAAAGACAAAATGCAAAGCAGAACAGAAAGTGGGCACTAGTGATGTGGCCATCAGAGTCAAACTCGGCAAAGATATCAGGGACAAAGATCTGCTGTACATGGCTTAGGAATTAATTGTCCCAGTGACAAACAGCCTGATGAACAGCTACAAACCTGCTGAAATTCTATAGCTGTCACCATATTGGCACACCTAGTTTCTCTCATGTATTTGCACATGTACACATTCTTCTGTTGTTTTTCATTAACAATGGATACTGAGTCATAAAGTCAAAGCAGAAGCCCAAGACAGTATGGCAATACATTATTATGAAAATTCATAAAGTCTGGAACTTTTATTGGACCTCACAGCCAGAATTAATAACATACCTTGAGATTACTTAAGATTCAAGACTGCCTTCCTACTATGTACTCAGCCTGTTTATTTGACTGCCTTTATCAGAGCAATGTAACAACCATCCTTACTTGCCTTGGATTTCCCATGTAACCAACTTTTAGAACCTAAGCTAATGGAGAATTGTAATCTAATTCCATGCCCCCGACCTAGAGAGCAATGCATGTGTGTATGTATGCATGATGTGGTAGTCACTTGTGGAAAGCAAAAACTATGTTGAAAAGCAACATTATAAAAAGAGTATCTCTGTAAATGTTGGAAGCAGCATTCAGACATTACTTGATAGCATTTGTTTGTTATCTGGGTCAGTTGGAGTAAGAAAAGTTTCATCCCTTGTAAAAATCTGTTAAAGATTGTTGTAAAATTTCCCTCATTCTTTCTCCGTATTCCTGTGACATTCAATAAATACAGAGCAAAAGCCCTTTGTTGGGGACACACACGGGCACAGGGACAGACTCCTAAGACAGCATTCAGGAAGGCACAGATTTAGATTCATGCAATAGAGAGATGGAAGACACGGGGAGAAAGAAGCAGAAAATTTAAATCTGGGCTTGTTCCTGTTAACTATTCCAAGGGGAAGTGCTCTGACTTATTTTCCTTAATGTGACACCAACACATTCTGGATACTCTGAGTTATCACTGGTGCACTGAAGTGAAAGAGATGCACTACAGTCATGAAAGTTATGTTCAAGCCATAAAGTAGTACAGGTTATTAGTGCAGTAAAAGGGAAGGGTAGAAGAATCGAGACCGACAGACATTTACTGCACATTACACTGTAGCACATGCTATTGAATGACAAATGCACTTGACAAAGTGCAATCTGTGCTTGGGGAATTCACCTCTCCCTCTGAACCTGATGGACAAGATGACCAGAAACAAAGAAGGGAGACATGTCCTTCCCAGCAATCTCCATGTGCTGCCACATCAAAGGAGGTCCCTGGCCAGTGTCTTCTGAGCATAATCCCCTTATTGTGCCCAGGCAGGTAAGAAATGCCAAGTTCAAGTTCTGATCCCTCTGCCACTTACCTAAGTATACACCTCGAAGCATTCCACTTTCCACCACCTGGAAGTCTTCTGCTTGCTCTAACTGAGAGATGACCTTTGGCTTGGAAAACAGAATACCTGAGTACATGCATACACGAACAAGAAGACATGAGTGGCCATATTAGCATAGAGGTCCAGGCCAAGCAGACCCCGAGGTCGGGGCTCAGTGCAGAGGAAGAGAAGTTTTGTTTAGAAAGCAGCCTAAAGCTGGGCTCCTAGAGGATGTTGAGAGACAGCCTCAGGATGTGAGTCAGGGCTCTGGTTCGGCACTTCTTTTGGTTGGATGGCTTAGGGGACCCACCACAACAGAGCTGGGTTTGGGGAGACAGGAAAAACACAAGAGAAGGTGCCCTTTATTTAACTCAGCCATATTCAGATGTCTCAGAACAGCCAAGGGGAAAAACAGCCATGTCTGAGCCCATCCACAGGCCAAACCTAGCCAAGCCCTTCACACGTCCTACCAGGCAGAGGGTAGAGATCATGTATTTCCATGTCAGAATATGCACCCCAATAAACCCCTTACCCAGTGAGGCCAGGCTGCTGTAGTTCTCCAGCATCACCTCCCGGTACAGGCTTCTCTGTGCAGAGTCCAGATGCAACCACTCATCCTGGCTGAAGAACACGGCCACATCCCTGAACGTCACAGGCTCCTGGAACAGCAAACCCCTTCCTGCTCATCCCAGACCATGCCCACAGAGAGCATGAGTGAGAAGCAACTCTGTGAGGGTTTTGAGTGTCTCAAGCCAAGCAAGCATTTCAGGACAACAGCTTCATTAACCAGCATGTATTCAGGAGGTTCCTACAATAAGTGACTCACTGTGCCCTAAGAACGTGCAAACACAGCACCCTACAAGAGAGCACCTGACATCACAAAACAAGATCAGGAAGACAGAACAGAACTCCAGACTAAGAAAGGTATTAGTCTTCGAAAGGAGATGGCGTGGTGGTTTCCAGGTTTCTGATACTCTACAAAATTATGGGGCTGGGCATCCGTGTACAACACCGGCGGTCCTTCTAGAGTGGAAATGCTAGGCGTTCGCTTTTTCTTTGCCAAGCCAGAGGCACATCTCCACAACCCCAAGCTGGTCACAAAGCTTAGCATCTTCCTGCTCTGAAAGGGCAAAAGTAAATTTAAAGAGGAGTGGTTTGACTTTCCTCCCTGGAAATGAAGGAAGAGGCAGTCCTACTTCTGTTTCTTGGCAGCACTAGGAATCGAACCCAGAGCCCTGAGCATGCTAGGCAAGTGCTCATCTATAAGCAACATCCCCAGCCCCTACTCCTTTTCTTTCAGAATCTCTGTCCTTTTCAGGTGTATATGAGTGTGTGTGTGTGTGTGTGTGTGTGTGTGTGTGTGTGTGTGTATCTATATATGCACCCAAGTGTGTTGAAACCAGAAGTCAACCTCAGGTGTCAAACCCCTCAGTATGCTATCCATCTTGTTTTTGAGACGGGGCCTCTCCCTGGCCTAGCCCTCATTGACTCACTAGGCCAGTGAACCCCAGGGATCCACCTGCCTCTCCAGGGCTGGGATGACTAACAACATACCACTGCTCCTGGCTTTTTTACTTGAGTTCTATGTATTGCATCAAACTAATGTCCTCAGACTTGTGTAGCAAATATATTACTAATTAAGCCATCTCCCCAGAGAGTTTGTGAATCTTCTTACTGGCTAAGTCATTTGCCAGTCTCAACTCAGAAAAGCTCCCCCTAAGAGACTGGTACCCATGCCTTTCTTTAAGCAGAATCATGGCAGAAGTTAATATAATAGCCTTTAGACTATGAAGACAAAAACTCCCTGGGTTCCTTACAAAATAAAACAAGCTCAGCCAATCAAGCACCAAAGGAGCATGGCTTGCATCACCAGGAACTCTGCATGGGGACAAGTCTAAATAAACAAAGCTTGAACCTATGGGTTTCTGTGCTCTGCTTCTACATTTATGCCATGTAATCTTTTCCTTCTGTGCCTTTGGATGCAGCCCAGATCCACTTCTCGTCATCAGGCAGAAGTTAAATATGAGTATGAAGGTAGGGGCTGGTGTGGGAACAAAAGATCTATTGTTTAAGCTTAGCTTTATGGCCAAAGGATACTGGAGCTGATGAGCATCGAAGAGACAAGTGAGGATGAAACCAGTCCTACAATCTGGTCATAAGACCTCAAGTTAACATACACCGGGGAGGCAGGGGTGATACACTTTCCACCAGTCAAAGGCGTTAAGTGGGAAAGATATTAAAAACTGTAGCTGACACCCTATGAGCTGATTCCATCTCTCAGACAGCTACTCTGCCCGTGCAAGTAAGTTCCTGCTCTAATAAAGCCTTGCTTGCTGAGGCTCTGTGTGTCTTGCTGACACCTTCTCCAAGAGAATGCAAGAACCAGGGAACTATATAACAGCCTGATAGACTAATGTCTGCTCAATAAGGAAGGGAAGGCAGTTAACTCCTGGTCATTGGCTATGTAACTGATTAATGGAGACAGGAAGAACCTTCCTTCAGGAGTTATAGTCTCACCTTTCAGCAGCTTCTGTTCCTCCTTGGGTTCTGAAGCCCAGAGAGTTCAAGAAAGAATGAAATAGATTTGCCTCTTCTGCAGCCTGAAGGCAGCTCAAAAAAGAAGTGGCCTTTACTCACCTGAACGCGGGCTGGCAGCAACCTCTTGGCCATTTTCCTCCCTCTGTTGCTCCTCCTGAGAAGACACCTGGAGGAAGAGGCTGTGAGATTTACTCAGTCTGACTGCTCTCCAGTTCTCCCTGGGCCAGACCAGGTTAGAAACCACCTGCTGGGCATCTGCACAGCCCAGCCTCCCCAAGCTAGATGGAACCTGGGCATGACCACCAAAAGCCAGAAGCAAGCCAAAAGCACACCTTGTTATGGCCACCAAAGCCAGAAGTAGGCAACAAGCACACCTTGTTATTGGGCCTGTGACCTTTTCACTAGAGATTATGAAGAAAGACAACTGAACCAAGCTATTGAGTTCTTCAGCAAGGTAGAAGGCACCATGGTGTGCAACTCATGAAGGTAAGAGAAGGCATAAATATTCCACCCATTTGCACTTGGACATTGCAAGTGAAAGAAGTGACGGCAGAATGCATACCCTTTTCAGAAGACTAGAAATTAGTCCTCTCATCCTCGTGGGCGTTTGCCTCTGGTCAGAAAAATTACCAAAGTCTCTTAAATTAACAAGAAGACCCCCCCTGCCCCCCCCCTCGAGAACAGCATCACTAGCTAGAATTAAATTTAAATTTTGGAAAAAAAGGGGCTGGAGGTGCAGCTCATGTAAGAGCGCTTAATATTAACCAGTCCTAGGTTCCATGCTCAGCATCCTTCCGCTCTTTCCAACAGCAAAACGTTAGAGCAAAGGAACAGAACTTCACCAAAAAAGAATACAGACTGTGGGATTCACTCTAAGACACTGTCCAACACCGAAGACAGACAGAAACGAATAAACAAAGTTTCAGCTCGGGGATGGCAAGCCTGCAGGCGCTGTGCTCAAGGCCACCCTGATGCGCAAACCTGAAGCCGTCCGCTTCCTTGACCGCTATTCCGGCCCGCGGATCCGGAGCGACCTGGAGTAAGGGCGAACGGCCTGCACCTGCCACCGAGGCCTTTGCGTGCTCCCGCCCGGCTCGCAGCTCCACCCCGCGGGCTCCCAGCTACGCCCGCTCTGCCTGCAAGCTTAGTAAGCCCAACATCCAGCGAGGGAACCCTACTGGGCTCAACTGCGCGCGCGCGCCAGCCACCTGATTTCCAAAACGGACTACATTTCCCAGAAGGCACCGCGACACCCTTACTGTGCCGCAGTGGGAGATAGGCGCCTAAGGGCTGAACATCAGCCTCGACCTCCCAGGCTTTTATCACGCTTTATTCATAACTACAATGGTAATACTACTAAAAAGGGCAAAATGAATGTGCATTAAAAATGTACAAGAATAAGGCCCTGGCTGCTTAGTTTCGGATGGTGAGAGGAAAAAAATCATTTTTTTAAATAGAAAATGATGCTTTTTGTAGCCTACAAAAGGAACAATATATACAATTTTTCATTGTTGGCTCATACTTGAAGCAAACATTAAGCAAATAAACTGCTATATTAGCTATTACTGCCACTGGAAGCCCAGATTTTCAGGGAAAGCAAAAAAGGTAGAACTAAAATCTATTCATTATTTGAATTGGAAATTTTTAGCTCTTTTTACAAAACTTTGATTCTGTCTTTGTCCACTGTAAAGAATGACAATTCAACTGCAATTAGATATAAAGTATGTTCTCTAGATAGCAATTAACACAATCTTTTTTAAGTCGGTCCTTAAAGAAGTCCACAGCACGGGACCCATAAGATAAGAACAGCCCCTGGAAGGAAGAAAGTCAGCTAAAGGCTGTATTAGTTTCCCAGGAATCAACATGAAGAAATTCTGCTGAACCAAGGTGGAAGGATTTCATCACCAGAAGACCGCAAAGGTTTGAAAGTCAGCAAACACCGTAAGACTCTGCCTTACTTCTGTTCCTGTCGAAGTATGCCAGGAGTGGAGCTACCCAGATCCAAACAAATGCCAACCCACCAACAAAGCATTCAACATACACACTAAAACATACCACTTTAGCATAAGGATTATTTTGGCTCCATGCTGGGTGTGGGCCTTTCTGTAGGCTTTTAGTAGATAGTTTTGTCAAGCTAAAGAAGATCCCCAGATGGCTAAACTTTTAAATCATGAATGAACAGTAGATAGGACCAAATGCTTTTTCTGCATCCATTTAGATAATCATGTTTTTGCCTTTAATCTGTTAATGTAGTGAATTACAGAAATACATTTCCTAAATCGTTAATCCACTAAAGCACATCTCTGGGACAAACAAGACTGGCTGTGACAGGTTTGTCTCTGTCAATTTGTAAATGTCGGGCTGGGTCTTTCTGTCTCTCTGCTTCTTAGTTTGACCTGAATGTTTTTTTTTAAATTTTTTATTCTACCTATGTATTAATTTCATGATGCGTGTTGTCATCTCCAATGTGTGGTATTTTGTGAACAGAGAAATTCCTTTGTAACACAGTTGAGTATTATGAGTTAGTTTGGTGTTCCATGGAAGGCTTCACATGAATATTTTCTATTCTGAGTGAGAGGATGTTGTTGGTTGTTTTTACTCTGTTACTCTTTGGGGGCCTGTCACCCAGCTCCCAAATAAATCACACATAGAGGCTTATTACTTACAAATGCCTGGCCTTAGCTTGGCTTATTTCTAGCCAGCTTTTCTTAAATTACCCCATCTATCTTCTGCCTTGGGGCTTTTCCCTTTTCTTCTGTAATCTTACTTTTACTCTTACTCGCTGGGTGACTGGGTGGCTGGGTGGCTAGCTCCTTCTTCTCACTCCTTGATCTCTCTTGCTCCCCCAGATTTCTCCTCCTCTTTTACTCTCTCTGCCTGCCAGCCCCGCCTATCCTTTCTCCTGCCTTTCTATTGGCCGTTCAGCTCTTTATTAGACCAATCAGGTGTTTCAGACAGTCAAAGTAACACTGCTTCACAGAGTTAAATAAATGCAACACAGACGAGTGCAACACACCTTTGTATCATTAAAGCAAATGTTCTACAGCCTAAACAAATGTAACACATCTTAAAATAACATTCCACAACAAGAGGACCTCCATGGGTGAGCTGACACAGACAGACAGCAGTACAACCTGAGAAAGGAGAGCTGTGCTTGGTGTCCCTTTGCCTCCTCTCGCCTCAGCTCACTGCGTCTGCCTGTTCTCTGAAAAATGCCGTGGCCCTTTTCATTTTTTTTCCTGCCGTGCTGAGGAACCCAAGGCCTTGTGCATGTTAGGCAGGCACTCACTCTATCACTGAGCTAGAGCCCCAGCCTGCTAGATTATTATTTTTTTAATCAAGATCTTGTTTTGCATTAATGTCCTGCTTCCAGATCTGCTTGTGGCTTAGTGGTTTGTTTTAGTTTTATCCCCCTCATATTTGAAGGTGTGTTTCTTCTGGAGTTTCACACATGAATTTTCAGCAAGAACACCTGTTCTTATTTCTTGATATTGTTGTTGTTGTTGTTATTGTGACACTTGTTTTCACCTGTTCTCCAGCTGCTGTTCTTTCTACCTGCCAGATGTGAGCATTGTTTTACTGTACTCTTCATTCAGGTTTCGGCCTACGCATTATCCACCATGGACGCTTCCCGTGTATGCAGCTGGATAGCCACATGCACATGGTTGAAGTTGGACCAACTTCATATTATACTCAAGAATTCCCTCAACATGGATCAGAGATCTAAACGTTAGAGCTAAAATTATAAAGCACTAAAAGCTAAAACATAGGTGGTATCTTGTTAGGGTTTCCATTGCTGTGATCAAACACTGTGACCAAAAGCAACTTGAGGAGGAAAGGGATGACTTCAGCTTCTAACTCTCAGATCACACTCCATCAACGAGAGACGTCAGAGCAGGAACTTGAGGCAGAAACTGATACAGAGGCCATGGAGGAACCGACTTCCTGCTTGGATCCTTGCAGTAGCTCAAACTGCTTTCTTGTAGACCCCAGGACCACCCGCCTGGGGGTGATACCTCCCATAGTGGACTGGGCCCTCCCATATCAAACATTAATCAAGAAAATGCCCCACAGGCCAATCTGGTGGGGACATTTTCTTAATTGAGTTTCCCTCTTCCCAGAGGACTAGGAACTTGTGTCAAGTTGATTAAAAAAAAAAAAAAGAAGAAGAAGAAAAGAAAAAAAACTAGCCAGGACAGATATAAATCTTCATGACCTTGGAATTTCTTGTGAGATCTTAGATGTGATACCAAAAATACAAACAATAAAAGAAAATGTAAATTGGATCTCAACGAAATTAAAATTTTGTGCATTTTGAAGAAAGTAAACAGACAAGCCACAGACTGGAATAAAAATCTTTGCAAGACATATGTCCAAACAAGTCCAAGACGTACAGCTCAACCAGAAGACAGATACCCACACTTAAAAAAGGGCCAACAGATTTGAATAGCCATCTCTTTAAAGGAGATATACAAATAGGCAAATGCACATCAAAGATGCCCAACACCGTTGGCCATTGGGAAAAAGCAAATGGAGAAGGTGAACTTTGGCTTCATGCACACAGGAAAGTGACCCTGGGAAAACTGAAGGTGACAAGTGCCGGGACCCGATGCCCATGGCTGCAGTGGCCATAGACACACTTGCTGAGAAAAGTGAAGTTTGTGCTCGCCTGCTGGCTTTCTCTCTGTTGGTTCTGCCCACATTCAAGGCCGTGTCTTTGGACTGAGCTACTGTCGCACAGGGCAGTCCTTCTGGAAGGACTCTCATAGGCACACCAGCTGTGTGCTTCAGTGATCTTCTAAGGATCTGTCCAGCAGCTCAAGTTAACCATCAAGACTCAGTATCTCAGCCCCGATCTGATAGAGTTCTTGGCCTATGAGAAGAGGCACTGAGAGATGTCCGCACATGTGCACAACAATGGGCCAAAAGAAGGCCATCATCTACAAGCCTGGGGCAGCTCTCACAGCACCTGGCCCATGTGTCACCCTAGTTTCAGACTCATAGCCTGCCATTTGGCCACCAGTCTGTGCCATTTTGTAAGGCAGTGGTGGCACACCCCTTTGGTCCCAGCACGTGGGAGGCTCATGCCTTTAATCCCAGCACAATTGGGAAGTGGAGACAGGAATATAAGGTGGGTGGAGACAGGATCTCACCCCCTTTCTGCCTGAGGATTCATAGAGGTAAGAAGTCTCTAGTGGCAAGACATATGTCCAA